GTGGAAGAACAGAGAGAACGGTGTGTAAATTGCCCCCACTGTCAATTTACCACTCTCCAGGCTGCCTTAGCTGAGGGCTTTGCTGGATGGGGATCCAGCCAGGACTGTGCAAGGGAATTAATGGTAATACCCGGGCAGGTGGGGCTCAGCTCTGCTCTCTGGCACCGTAACGATGGAGAGTGTCTCAGAGGATGGGGGTATCTGTGTGTGCGGGTTTGTGTGTGTGTGCCTTCTTCAGAGCTCAGAAGCTGCCCATGTGGATGTGAACAAGTGTGTGCAAATGTGCATTCACACCAGACAGAAGCATTTCTTCCTAGTCTTAAAATGGCAAAATAGCAGACAAGCTCACGGATCTATTTTTCATCAGTGGAAGTGCACTCGGGCAGCCTGCGGTGTGAGACCCCTCTCCAGGTGGAGAGGAAATGGTTGCCCCTCGCTGCCTACAGTACAGTCGACATCACAGCCGCGTTCTGCTCAGGAGATTTAGCTCCCCACGCGGACTCCCTTCCACTATTTACATACCCACCTTTATCTAACAGCAGCAGGTAGGTGATTGAAAGCTTGCACTCCATTTTACAGTGCAATAACAGCCTCGGTAAAATTGAGTCCTGATTGTGGGGCTGTTGTAAATCACGGCAACTTGGTCCACATGCTGGTGTTGCTGGAGGGAGCTCGGTGTAGCATTTGAATGCACTTTGAGATGGCAGGGACTTGGCTGTTGGTCAAATAGGAAGTTTTACACAGAAAGACAAAGGAGTTTATCCTTGGGGGCGTTTAAAGACATACATAACACAAGGCATTCTGCTTTTTCTCACATTCGATTTCACCTGTCTGTTTGTTCAAGATAAATGTTTTTATTGGCTGCTCTAAATTGTTTCTGTTCATTTTTCCTATAAATCTGACAATACATTTGCTGTGTTTCTTGAGTAATAAAATAAATCTGAGGTGGCTGTAGCAGTGTGGTTAGGGGGATCGTCCTGTAACTGGAGGGTTGCTGGYTCAATCCCTCATTGCAGCCATCTCAGTCTTTGTGTTCTTGGGCAAGACACTTCACCCACCTTGCCTACTGATGGTGGTCTGAGGGACCAGTAGCCAGGGGTGGACTGGGGCAAAAAGTGGCCCAGGAATTTAGCACCTGACTGGCCCATTCAAGGTCCGAGCTGGCAGATGATGTCTGCAAATGCTGGAGGCGGAAACAACAAATGTCATCTCAGGGCACTGTACAAAAGCTAAGGATGTAATGTTGAGGAATTAGTAAAGTTATTAAGATAGCTGAGCAACAGTTAGCTCACAGACATTGACCCTCAGAGTTCCATATCGTCATTTTTGACTCATTTTGATTTTACCCCCCAAAAATAACATCATTATTATTATTATTATTATTATTATTATTATTATTATTATTAT